AACCCTCTATGTCAAGATGAAAAATGCAGTGACCAAATTTCTGGAAAAAAAAAAAATCAGGACATAAAATCCAAACCAAAGCTCAATGTAACAAGTACAAGAATATTTTTGGAGCAATCCTAACAGAATTTTTTAAATCAAGGGAACTATCCTGGAAAATCTGGTAAATTTAGTTACTGTACACAGAATGCTCAAGTTTGTCATCCAAGTAGCTCTGAAAGAGTTGGGGTGAAGATCTTGCCAAGCAAAATCTTTAATTATGATTATAAAGGTGTGTTTATCTACTTTCACAGGTATACAGTAAGGTACAGTTCCATCCAATAAGCTAGATTCATACATTATTTTGTTCCACAAATATTTGAAGTTCCCTACTGTTACCATTTATTGAGCATTTATTATATTCTAGGCATAATTCTAGGTCTTTTTGTATACATTGTCTCATTTAATTTCCATAGCAATCCTATGACTTAGATATTATACAATTTTTGTTATTTTAGAGAGGAGAAAACTGAGCCTCAAAAAGATTATATGACTTTGTCAAATTCATATTGCTAGAAAGTATCAAACAGTAATTAAAGAAACCAAGATCTGAATCTTGGTTCAAGATTTAACATCAACTTCATCCTTCCACCGCAGCCTACTTTTTCTATCATGTCCATATGCATTTAGCAAGGCAAGTGTGTGTACACTCTGTTATCCTGTTAAAAATTTTGTGAAACCATACATTTTTAGATTTGCTCCAGGACTCTGGATTATCTACTATATTCAGTATTTCAGTAATTGAGATAGTTACTTTAGTAAATACCAAATTTATTCTCGAGGCTGATCAGAATACAGTTTGGGTCAAAAATATTCCCTCGTCAATTCTAAAAATAGTGTCTTGATAGAACACGCAATAAAAAATGTTTAAGGATAACCATAATCACCAAAAGGAATTAAGAAAACTATTACAACAATAACTTTTATTTAGTGAATTTTATATAAATATATTTGTGTAAGTATCAACTACCTAGTGCTGGATACTAGGTGGTTTATGAAAAAATAAAATTATAGCATCAAATGTTCCAATTCAGCTTAACTCTAACATGAGGTAACACATTTATAAACTTGCATACATAACTAAATAAATTGCTGAAATTGTCATCAAGTAATAGGAAAGAGTCAGAAAATTTTAACACAGAATAGAAATCTGCTATTAAGAAGATAAACTATAGAAATGAAAACATTGAGAAGCAACACGGATTTGAAACCAGTTTTGTAACTTTTGGACACTCTGTTTGTTATAGACAGTGGACCGACCCAAGGACTGGTACAAGACAATGTTTAAGCAAATTCACATGGTGCACAAGCCGGGTATGTATGTTGTTCTGCTTTCTGATCAGGTCCTTGTGGGTTGCAGGATATATATTCCTCTTTTCTATAGGTTTTGTTCACACAAAATGTCAAGACCCCAGCACACTCCATGCCGCTTTCTTTTTGGCATTCTTCCTGTTCCCCTCTTCCCGCTCCAATCACAGATCCCTCTGCCTCCGCCCCACCCCTGGGCTGCCTGCAAGAGACGCCCCTGGGAGGTTGGCCCGTGCTCTGGCCTCCTCCCTCCAACCTTCCTGTCCACGGTCTAAACCGGGGTGTTGTCTGTGTAAACAGACGCCTTGTTCCTGTGTCCACCCCGTCTGCTCTTCATCAAGAGCGTGAGTCTAGGCAGGTCTCCTGAGCCTGCCGTCGGGGCCAAGGGAAAGCTTCCCTTTGCCCTCTGACGGGTTCGCTGAAAATCACTGACAAGAGGCAGACTAACAGGAGAAAAGGCATATAAAATTTATTTGATCAAAGTTTTACATGACATGGGGACTTCAGAATGAGGACCTAAAGATACAGGGGAAATTGTCCATTTTTATGCTCAGGTTCAACAAAGCGTGGGCAGCCATGTAGCAACATGATTGGACATAAAGGGATGATCTAATGCTAACAGACTGAGTGGGGAAACCCAGCAAGGCCTGTCTGTCCAGGCTCTTCTTGGCCTCTCTGAGCAGCATCCTTCCTTCTGGGTGTGGGACAGGACCCTCTCTGGAATGGGGGTCTTACGGCCCACAGTCAAACAGGGTGGGTCAGAGAATTTCTTTATGGCCAGTTTTTAAACAGAAAGGTCGGGGGTGGTTAGAGTAATATTTTTAGGTTTTATGGCTGGCTTTGGAGAAAAAGGGTGCTGGTTTCTATGACCCACCTTGGGGAAGAGGGATTCTAGTGTCTGTGGCTAGCCTCGGGGGAGAATGAGGCAACAGAGACAGGAGGGCAGGAGAAAGACACAGAACAACTTTTGCTTCTGAGGCCTTCATTCTGGGTGTTGTTTTCTGAGCCCTAACACTGCTCAGCGCAGCTGACAAGCCATCTCTAAGCACTTAAACGGAAATTCGTGATCCAGAGGAAACGGTGGCCTTGGGAAGTGAGGACAAGGGACCGACTTTGTACGCTACGAAGAGACTGGCAATGCCAATATGTTACAGACAAGAAAGGGTGGTCGGGGGCACAGCAAAAAGCAATATTTGAAACTAAAAAGTGATATTATGAACTTGGAAAAATACGTTGCTTTCCTAACAAACTTCCGTTGTTTCTCTGAAGTTCTGCTGTCTTGTTTTGCCATGGTGACCGAATCTGTACTACCATAATATTTATGTTTCATTTTCTAGATGATGACACTGACATGTATAATACTCCTTACACATATAATGCAGGTAGGATGGGTTTCCTTGCTTGCAATGAATATTTTATGCTCCGCAATGTTTGGAAGAACTACACAGCCACTTTTTGTACCCTTTGTTTGAGCACACGTTTGCAGTTCATATCATTAGGAGGATGCTTGTTTTTTCTTTTTTCAGAGCATGCATAACAAAAGGATTGATCTTTTCTCATGGAAATGAGAACTAACACTGTTTTATCTCATTCATTCCCACTGCTAGTTTATTCTCAGCTTCAGGAATGCTTAACCGAAGTGTGAAGGACAGCCTGAAAGAACACACTGTAACCCAGGGTACAAAACAAGATAGAGATCTTCTTTTATCAGCAGAGAGTGATTACAATTGCGTAAGATCATTCAGATACACTTCACAAAAAAACAAGTCAAGCAAAGTATTTTGTGACCTTGTCCCTGCTTTTGCTCCAAAATGCAACCATTCATTGAAAGATTTCAAAAATCCCACTTGGCTGGGCCACTTTTCTGACTCAGAGTTGCCAGTGGTCATAATAGAATGACTTCAATTCCGGGCATTTCCACTTGGATTCAAGGGCATTGGCACCTCATGAAGGGGTCTTCAGGCTTGAGAGGGGAACCCCCCCCAAAAAATGTTTCCCTTCATCACTTTCTCTTGAATGTTGCATCAGGGGTTCTGCCCAGGCCCCCTCTCCCTGCCCAGCCACAGGCTCAGAACTCTTGCTGTCCCCTTTCTTTAGAGCAGACTCGGAGGCTCAGACTGCTCCCCTCCCCTTCTGCAGCAGTGACCTCATTTAGGGGTCCCCTGGCCAGCCTGGCCCAGGAACTACATGAGGCTCTCCCCTCCCGCACACCTGGAGACCAGCGCTCAGCCCCTAGCTGTTAGGGATGCCACTGCTAGTCTCCACTACCAAACAGAGGGAAAATGAGTGAAACAAGCCCAGCGAGTTGTAAGACCTCTGGCTTTAGGTCCTGGCTCCCTCAGATGACAGCATGAGGCCCACTAAGATGTCCTCCTCAATTTTCATTCTGGGTCCCGGGTACACCAAACTCACTCCCTTTATTTAACTTGAAAGTTGAAGTCTGACTATGGAATGGCGGCAAAACTGTAAGTGCAGATGTTATCTTTGTTTGCCGAGGAAATTGGAACACTCTCAGGAGAGGCAGATGAGTGCAAATAGACTTCGCCCAAAAGACTGTGGTTGTGAGAAATTCAGAATTTTCATAATTTTTTTAATATCAAAGTTTGTGTCTCGTTAGTAACTAGTAAATGGAACGGCAGTTACGTGTAGAACCCTACAAGTTTCATCATTTAATCAGTAGACAAAGCCACTGCAACTAGTCTCTTCCCTTTGTACTAACCCTACATCTCACGGCTTTATGTCTTGCACTTTTCTGCTTTTATTTTTCCATACCATCCCTAACTAATCCTTCAGGGCTAATTCTAGCAGCTTGGGTTCTATAATATCTTCTCTGACTAATCCACCACCTTCTGACATCCTTTAATTCTTAACATATGTTTTCCTCATTTGATCTTTATTATATGTTACCAGTTAATTTCAATCATAATTCTATTCGTGTCTCCTCTCCCCAGTTGTGTTGTAAGCTTATTGAGGGTTTGCGTGTCCTTGTGCCTTGCACAGCACCTTATATATACAGCTTGGTCAATTGTCATATGTAAATCAGAGGGTTTTTTTTAAAGTGTTAGGAGATATTTGGAAACAGTTCTAAGTATTTTTAATCTCCTATAATTATTAGTTTATATGATTCAAAGAGAAAATTTGCTAAGTACCTGTAAGTTGACTCCTACTATCAGTCTGAATTATTACTAACTCCAAAATAATTGACAAACAGTTATTGTAATCAGGGCTTATGTAGAGAATAAATGAATAATTAATTAATGAAGATCAGTCAATTAATAATATTAATAAATTAATAAAGAACGACCATCTGATGTATGCATTATGAATATGCTTATCGATAAGAATTTTTACATAGTCATTGGCTATGTAGAGGGGAATGAATAATTTAATGCACTTCTAACATATTATTTGCTTCTGTGTGGGGGGGTTTCATGATAGGTCTGTACAACCCACCCTACAGTGCGCAGTCACACCCTGCCGCGAAGACCCAGACCTACAGACCTCTTTCCAAGAGCCACTCTGACAACGGCACCAACGCCTTTAAGGACGCGTCCTCCCCAGTGCCTCCCCCACACGTTCCACCTCCAGTCCCACCGCTTCGACCAAGAGATCGGTCTTCCACAGAAAAGTAAGACGTCTTCCCCAAAAGTGGCCAAAATTTATCTTGGGACAAAAACAAGGCCATGTGACATCCAGTGGAAGAATCGGTGCACACCTTAACAGAGAGAATAAATGTGTAACTCGTGAGTCCCTACGTACACCATACTGACCTCCTCCACTGAGACTGTAGCAAACGCAGTCACAGTCTTGGTTCATGGTATCACAGCACCCTAAATTAGACTCGAATTGACATTTATTGATCAATTGACTTTTGGGTCAATAAACGCATATAATTGACATATACATGCTTTGGTATACCAGGTTAAAGACTATGCAATTAGTTTTCAGTTTCCTCAAATCTGAAATGTTAGATCTATCAATAATATATGTTTTTGAAAGCAGGGAAAGTTACTCATAAATCATAAATAAGGCATTACTTAATAAGTGTCTATCTCTGACTCATTTCCATCAGTTTTTCAAGCTGATACTAGTTTTCATTTCTCCACTGAAGTATTTTTATAGAAACTATCCACACTAAAATAAAAATTTATAAACACACTTCTATCATGTTATTTTTGTTAGGATTATGACTAATATTTCTACTTATAGGTAACCTTTATTGAGCGCTCACTATAGCCCAGCAGTAGACTAAGCACTTTTGCTGTATCATATCATTTGATTCTGAGAACAACCCAATGAGATAGCTTCTATTTTAAAGAGAAAGAAACTGTGGTTCAGAAAATTGAAGTCATTTGCTCAGCTCGTACAGCTAGTATGTCCAAGCCAGGATCCAAATTCAGCTCTGATTAAATCCAAAACCTATGGTATCCTGATAACTAATAAATAAGAATATAAAAATTATTCTTTATTAATACCAGTTATTAAGCATCATCTGTCATACCCATCCGAGAAAAATTGTATTCGACACTTCATTGTACCATTAAAAGTAACTGATGATGACATAGGTACAAGATACCACGAAAATAGACACACATCACATGTGAAGGGGTCCTCATGGTGAATTACGTGATGCTTAAAGTTAAAAAACAATGATCTAGACACAAAATGGTATATTTGCCATCAAAAAAGAACCCGAATTAACATTTAGATTTAAATGTATTATTTGTCCTATATGTTTAGTTAAAATAAATATCTCATTAAGAGATATGATGATCCCTTTAAAAATTCCAGATGGCTTTCATATATATTGTCTCATGCAATGCTCAAAACTCCCTTGCAAGGAAAAAGAACACAATTTTGCTACCTGTGTTTAACACAGATGTAAAATCTAAGACTGCAAAGTTTAAGAGGTCTGCTGAATATCACTCATCAATTTAGTAGAAAGCTAAGACTTGCCCCTAGTTCTATCTCTTAGAGCACTTTGATTTCCAACATGCCATGGAATCCAAATTTCATTCCATTCCATGGAATCAGAATCACTCCAATCTATAGTCAAAAGATCCATCCTCCTAAAAATAATGGACCCAAAGGGAGGCTTCTTCTTTAGCTCCAGCTGCCTAGAAAAGCCTTACTTTGTAAGTCCTTCTTTGACAGCCTCTTAAAGGATATTAGTTCAGGAAGAAGTGCTGATTCCCAGGAGCTAGATGTTTGACTCTGGTGTTTCAAAGCTAACACCAAAAGATGATCTCCCATGCCACACAGCTTGCTCCCAACTCAAGTGATACTTTTATACTTTTCCCAGACAAACTATGGTGCCACTTGCAAGAAACAAGATCAAACATGGTGTGTGCATTACTCCTTGTCACTTTGGATCAAGGATGCCAAGTCACAGAGTGGTGGGTTAAATGCACAGAGCTTAACAGAGCATACTGCCACTTACTTTAAACACGAACATATGCAGCTACCATTAGTGACCCTGAGGCTCACTGAGAGGTCACTGTCTGCATGTGTACAACCCTCTCATGTGAGTTTTTGAGCCAACAGGAGGATAATTGTATGAAAAAGAAAAAAAAAGAGGAACATATAATATGAAATAAAAGAAATGGCTTTCTTTAAACCATTAATGTAAAACAAAACATAAATATGGAATTTTTTGCAGATTAACTTTTATCCTAGAGATTTTAAAATCTATATTAACATTAACAGCAGATAACAAGTGGTTTTATACAATTGTTTTAAGCACACAGGATTATTTTAACATATGATTTCTTGTTTACTTCTAAGGCATGACTGGGATCCTCCAGACAGAAAAGTGGACACAAGAAAATTCCGGTCTGAGCCAAGGAGTATTTTTGAATACGAACCTGGCAAGTCATCCATTCTGCAGCATGAAAGACCAGTAAGCACTTGTCATTAACCAGAATGCCAGCTCTCTAGGCTTCCAGGGTTTCCAGATAAACCTGAATTTCGTATTGTTTAGCAATTTTTATCACGAAGGTAATTTATTTATTTATTTGGCATTATTTGGAAATCATGAGTATTTTGTGTCATGATTTGTGCATCCTGTCTCAGGATTAAAAGATGCACTCACTAATATGTTGTCTCTACTCACCAAATATATATATATATAAAAGTAGGACTCATTTGCATGTAACATTAGTTGTGTCCAATCATGAACCTGAGTTTAATTTTTTTAAAAGCACCACTCATAAATGCAACACTGAATTGCTATTATAGATTGCTAATGAGAAAAGTCTTTAATTAATCTCCCCAATACACATGGAACCATGGTTCCATCCTTTGGTTTGCATTATTAGTTATATAATATTTCTTTGGCTTAAGGGGAAATTTTCCAAATGCCCTTTTTATAACAAGTTGTTTTAATTGATTCTTATTAAATCCCTCTCAGGTTACCAAGCCTCAAGCTTCCTGATTGATTGTCATTCTAATGGATCAAGATTGTATTTCACTTTGCAGTATTTTTTTCAATTATTTACTCTAATTATATGCAAACAAAAAGATAGAAAAATCACTTCCCTCCTCAAAGTGCAAGTTACCAAAGATGTTCTTCCCTGGCCTTCTTGGTTTCTGGTCTCCCCAGCCCTCCTTTCTGTGTCCTTTGCTTCCCTCCCCCCTCCACCCCCCCCCCACCAGAGCTCAGTGCCCTCAGGATATCTTTGAAACTCTACAGTTCCTCTGCATCTCCATCCAAACCTGCTTCTAGAAAAGCATTTGATGTCAATTGCAACTTACTCACATTTTTGCTTTAAAAGAATTTTAGGTGTCAGTGAACAGGAAAAAGAGGATTTTTCTTTGTTAGCTCCTTCAAGAGCCTCCAAGAAATCACATTATTATATATAGTGCAAGGCCATCCCTGAAATTTAATTGGAAACCCTTGCCTCACCACACCCAACCTAAGTGTCCTTAATTTAGTTTTTGAAACCCCATATTTGTGGTTGTGTTGTTGAAAAACATGTTCGAAAACTTATAATCACATAATTCATACATGATATTTACCTAAGCCATCTTTGCCTTTCTTCAAACAACTCATATCTTTTAGAGTAACAGGACTTCAATAGAAAAACAAAGAAAAAAAAGGAACATCACTGATTTGCAGGCTCCATTGCAAACTTATAACCCATTTACTAGGTTATATGATGAAATATCATGACACTTTGAAATTTCCAGAATGAGAATTGGGTGATCCACCATGTCGCCATTGCATAAAACTGGAAATAGCAAAATAATAAATCTCAGATTTAAATATAAAAAACAAAGCTTCCATAATCATTCAGCAATTTATGAGACTCTTAGGATAATGAACACTGTAATTGTATGGGAATGCTTTTGTAGCTGCGGTCTCAGGAAACAGGACTGCTTTTAGAAGCTTTCCCATCAACATATTTCTGTTATTTAGCCATTTGACAAAATAGATTGAGCACCAACTCTGTGCCAGACTTGGTATTAGGTGCTAGAGACACAATGGTGAACAAGACAGAGTCTCTACCTCGAGGAACTTCAAGTCTATCATTTAACGTATATGCATGACGAGATCTGCTTTTGTGCAAACTAAACAACCTCTTGGGGTTAAAACAGAGGCATACCTAAAGAATCCCCCCTCTGCCCCCTCTCTCATTTGGGGCCCTATCATTGTGCCTGAAATTCCCACATTACTCGTGTCTGTCGGTTAAAGCGTTTAAGGCTCCTAGTTTTAAAATAGCAATAAAAAGAAGACGAACAGCAATAACAATACCTGTAAATGTTCACTGAACATTTACTATGTGCCAGGCTCTGCGATTAGTTTTATGCCATATCTCATGTAATAGTGTTTCCAATCACCCTAAGAAGTTGATACATGGTATTCCCCTTTTATGGATGAAAAGATGGAAGCACACATTGACCAACTTTGCCCCAGGTCACAGAGCTGGTGGGAGGTGGCAGTAGGCGTAGAGCCCAGGCACACTTATGCCTGGTGGGCTCAATCACCACTATATTGCTGAGTAGGAAGCACGTGTAGCTAGTAATAATTATTACTTTAATTAGAATACTTACGTTGCAATATAAATTAGTTTATTTATTGGCTAATTTATAATTACTATTTGATTTACTTTACCAGAAACCTAGGCCCTTCGTAGTTATGACACCAGCCCAGAATACTTAAGTAGGTGTGAGAAGGCAGGGAGACCTGGAGCCACGGGTGTTGCCAGAGACGCATGCGGATAGGTCTCTGCAGCCACAGCTAAGTGGAAGGGACCTAGAAACTGGGACAGAAATGAGAACGGATATCTTATGCAGAAATGGAGAGCACCAAAACTCATGCCTCCTAAGCAATTTTGTGGAGGACCAGCCTTAACCAACATGGTTCAAGCTGGTATCATTTTGACCAGCCTTTTTATTATAGGACTAGTCTATGACCTTTTTTTAAAATTATCTTTAAAACAAACAAAAAAATCAATCCTGAATTCATTCTAATTTATAGAAACAGAAGAAAACAACGGGCCAGTGGGCAGTGGCACTGTGGAGAGTGGCTATATATTGACTTAAAGAGGAGGAAGGTTTGCTGAATGCGGGTGATGGAACGGCAAAGGGCCGACACGGGGAGTTCGAGGCCCTATGCGTGCATCCTCATGACTTGGACTCCAGGATGACGTGGGAGCATTCCTTGGCTCTTTCCATAATTAATTTTTGAAAAATATACACAGCAGCAAAGCAATTCTGTGCTGCTCTGTTGACTTCCCAGATGATGCCACCTCCATCTGCTTTCCTAAGTGTCATCTTCGATTCCCCTCTCCCCAGGGGACTCAAAGTCCTGCCCACCAGGAGAGATGCCACTGCCACTCCTCTCTCTGGCCTGCCGTGGTCCAGCAACAGCCACCCGACCCAGTCCCCTGATTCTCCAATCTCATCTCCACACCGCAGCAAGGTCGATCTTTAGAAATTCTTTATAAAATCTCCAGCTCAAAACTTTCTCCTGGTTCTTCACTGTCCTTAGAGTGAAATCCAAATCCCTTAACATAATTTATAAAAGCTCTTGGGATTTGGCACCAGCTGAGCTCTCCAGCCTGGTCTCTCTTCTCATTCTCCCCCCACCCCCACCAGGTTCCAGCTACACAGAGAACTTTCAGCTCCCTCCTTGCTGGGCCTTTGCACAGCCTGTCCCCGCTGCCAGGAAAGCTCTCGCCACCACCTCTTCCTTCACACAGAAAGTTCTAGCCCATCCTTCAGGTCTCAGGGTAGTCACACTCCTCCCAGGGAATTGTCCCCAACTCCTCAACACTAGCCTTAAAGCTCCCCCTGCTGTGGGCCCAGGGCCCTCACACACTGAACTATAAAGGCCTGTTTACTTGTGGGTGTCCCTCAGGAGACCTTAAGCTCCTTGAAGGCAGGGACCATGTCTGGGACACCCCTTGTATTCCAAACACCTAGCACAATGCTTGGCGCATGGTTGGTGCTCAGCAAATATTCATTCATTGAATTACTAAGAGAATGTATGAACATAGGTTTTACCTTTACGGTGAATGGGTAACATTAGTGAGAAACTGAATCCTTATTTTGTTGCTTATCTGTGAAGCCTATATATTTCCACTGACAAAAGGCCAGTGGGTCTCTATCAAAACCCTCAGGAGGCATTTGACACACTGCTATTAGTAACTGTGACTCACCAATTCCGTGATTCCCTGGGTTACAAAGGAGACAGAAGGAATGGTACTGTCTGAATAGAAGTCCTCCCCAGACCCTGGCTAACGGGGTCTTCCTTAGGAATCAGCCGCATATGCATTTGTGTTCTTTAACAGGAAAGCAAAACTGAATGTACTTTTTTGAAACTCATATTCATTTGACTATAAATTTAGAAATGTCGACTAAATGGGCCTAATGTTTGATCTGGAAAATTACTTTGCTTCATCTGATGGTTGAAAAGTTTTATGTGACAGTTTGAACCATAAAGAATTATCCTAACAGTGTAGATAGCATTTATTGTGGAGACACAATAAATGTGAAACATGGTAGCCAATACCATTAAAGCTTAAAATCTAATGAGTATAATTTTCAAGAACGAAATATGTTGGCACTTTTTTTTTTTTTGGAACAACATATAGAAAGCATATGCCTCAATAAAATACTGAGAACAATGGAATTTCTATAACCACAAAAGCAACTAAATGTTTTTAAATTGTAGAAAATATAAAAACTTTAAAAATTGTTCACCCTTGGTAGCTTTTAAATAAGGATCACGTGTGATTTACAGTTTTAGCTTTTCTTAAGCACATTCTTTTGCACTGATGACACGAAGTTAGTTTTAAGCAGAGGTTTGCTGAGGTTTCCTTAAATGAATAGAACAAAAAAACAAGGTTAAAAAGAGTGTTAATATTAGTGAACTCAAAGGACTTCCATGTTACACGTGGAAAGTGCTGAATTAGTGAGATTGCTAGTGTGTATATGCATCTGTTGGCTGACCACATCTGTGTGTGTGTCACCGACTATCATGAGGTTTCTGTGTACCTTAGCAGTGGCTCTGGGTCACTCCAATACATTTAATTATTGCATGACTAAAGGCATTCAGTAGATCTGCATAGCAAAGAGAAGATTGTAGTTCTGGCACTTATGCTTTCTTTAATGTAAAGCCTTTGCTCAAGTGTGTGCCTTTCTTTACATTTCAAAGTTATAGATAATTACCAGCTATAATTGTTTGGGGTATTTTCTCTGCTAATTTCTATTGGCATGCATTCGAGATAGTTCGCCATTATGACTATAAATCGAATTTATAATTGACAAAATAATTAATGGAAAATTCCCATTCTAAGGTATGGAGCAAGATGATTGATATTCTGCTCCTTTTTCCATATTCTGTCATAGAAATATATTTCTATAAGTCAGGACTTAGTATATCCATTTGTTATA